CCTCGGCGGCGGTTTCGGGGGGGTCGGTGGCGGGGGAGAAGGAGCCGAGTAGGGGTAGGAGGCAGGCCGGGGCTTGTCGCCCACCCGTGTCCGTGAAAGTGGTCCTGGTGCCGGCCGGTCAGCCCTTGCGGCAGACACCTTTGCAGGCCCGTGGGTTTGGTCTCTCACGTTAGTGTCGTTTTCCTTCATCCCTCGGTCTCGCACGCTCATACAGCCCATGCGACGGCCGGCGGGTGCAGGCTGAGGAGCACAGGGCTGCGGGGCCAAGCACAGTGCGGGTCTTAACTTTTGTCTGATGTGCTTAGCTAATGTATTAACTGTGAGAAATACCACCAAGTTCCTCAGGAAAGAAAATATCATCAGATATTTTAACATTTACAGGCTGCAACATCAGCGTTGGTATGAGCTCAAGAACTAGCAGCGCTTATCGTCCCCAGAGGAATCCCTTATATTTTTTTTTCCTGTAACTACTGTTCCCAAGTGTGGATGTATACACACACCCGCTCACACACACAAATCCTATAAATGCTAATAAAACAGATTCCTCAGGATTTGTTTAACTTTCCCTGGCACTGCAATCTTATATTGATATTCAATGGGGTTACTAGTCTGCATGAGGATTACTAGTTAAGTATAGACCGCAGGATCAACCTTCTAGTATGCCACTTGAACATGTCCTTACAAATAAGTAAGGTAGGCAACGTAAGCATTGACAATACGATTAATTTGCACTGAATACTTCAAAGGGAAAAAGGAAGTTAAATCATGGTGCTAGAATTATTAAACTATGCAGAATTGAGGCCTCCGGTTGCAAGGGATCGTTTTCAGCTCTTTACTTGAAGCTGTATTGCTGCCATTGTCCAACCTTTGCTGGCCACATGGGACAGCTTTTGGCAATCGGATAGAAAATTATTTCTAGTGGGCATGAACTGGAAATATCCAGCTGGGGCGTGGATCTCATTTCTAATCAGAGCGGAGGGAAGGGAAACTCAGTGCTCTTTCTTGTTACTCAGGGAGCAGTTTTAGAGTTTAGCAAAAGTGGCTTGAGCTAACTATCCAGAAAAATACCTGCTGTTTAAAAATGGAGTTAGGGTGGCTTTTTTCCCTTAGAACTAGTAAATTTATTTGTTGAGGGTTTTTTTGGTTTTTTCTGTACATGATGTAGAATAGAGTACGTAGTGTACATAATGTGCCTTTACATAAGGTACAGTGATAACATAGGCATACCACACTGCACGGGCTGTCAGAGTTGATGGACTGGTCCAAATGGATGACATTTGCAAAAAATAAGTCTAAGTTAAAAACATCGAATGCTCATGTTTGGGTCAGGTTTTCAATTTCAGTTTTCTAAGAAGAATAAAGTTATTTTGTTAAGGCCACCTTTTTATTTTTTATTTTTTTCTTTTTTTTTTTTTTTTCTTCTCCCCAATTGGACCTGGAATTTGATAAATTTTCTGAAAGTGTTTTCATAAAACTCAGATCATTGATGTTAATTATGAATCCCGAACTTTCATGACCAAACATTTGCTGCTGCTAATATAAGCTGCAAACCATATTTCTTTTAACTACAGTAGATAGTTTAAAAGGTGAAAGCTGTCCTTGGGAACAGGAGAGGGAATGTATCAATCACAGAAAGGAAGCTTCTAGGCTGAAGAAATAGGAAAAACCTAGTAGGAAAAGCACACAGTGGAGCATTTTTGCTCTATCTGTCTGAAACCCTTTGAACATTATGAAAGTCAATGTAAGTATTTTTATTTACTTTTTAAAAGTTATGTTCAGTGACTTGAACTTGTTTTCTCAGTGGTCCCCAGCTTATATGAATAGTGTGACTAATCTAGTGGAGATGAGTAATGGATCTGTGAGGAATAGAGGAATTCTGATGCAAAAATATATCTCTGTTTTTGGTGGTATTTTATGCTGCTTTGGCATTCTATATATTATATAATGGCTGTCAGGAGAACTTTGGTAATACTTTATAGTAAAGTTTATAAATACTTCAGTCATGATTTAGAAATGATTAATGGAAAATGCTATTTGTACATAATTATGTGATGTTTTACTATGTTCTAAGCACATTCATAAGCTTTCATTAACTGCTGTACCTTTGATTTTTTTGTAACATCCTGATTCAATATTTTTGCATTTGTACATTGAATGCTTTGTAACACATGTAGTAGCTTATTTCTAAACAAGTATTTTATCATGTACAGTCAGAGAAATTTAAGTCAAGAATAATCTATTCACATGGGACTACCACATTATTGCAAGGGAGAAGGAATGGAATGGGGAAGCAAAGGTTCTAGTGAAGATCACTTTTGTGAATTTAAGACTTCATCCCTGCAAATGAATCAGCCAGGTCTCCAATCCATGAGCTTAAAACAGTGTGGAATACTCATAGCAGTGCAGCTATAGCAAGGCACAAGGCACAAGGCACTGAGAAGAGTTGGAAGAGGGGGGTCTGTCTCCTTGCTAGTGTGGTCAAGCTGATTGGGAAGTATGGGCATGGGAAAAGTGAGGTTTCACAAGCTCAGCTCTTGGGGAACTGGTGGGGCAATTGGTGGTTTTGATGGATGCGATGTCTTTTGGTCCAAAGGGCAGAGTAGAGAACAACCTTATACCATGGTGTCTGGTTTGAATTGGATTGCAAGTTTCCCATCCTTCATCCTTGTGGAGTCAAGGCTTTCAAGTGTGTAAGGAGCCCACATGAGCTGACCTCACTTAAGGCAGAATGCAAGAGGTGTTTTTTGCCTCTGCTCATGTCTTTCCAATGTAAAAACAGACAGTCGTTTTCTGCTGGTCACCACGACCTTCCCCAGTAGCAGTGAGATTGAAAAGTTATGCCATTTGGATAGTAATTGCCACAATGCAATTATATTTGCCACTGAAGCATTAAAAAAACTCCCTGCACAGGCAAACAAGGCTTTTGCTTGTATTGGTAACTGACTCCTCGACAAACTCACACCAGCAGGTTTTGTATCTAAATTGCTAGTCAGTCAGTAGATGTATCTGAAAGTGGAGATACTCTCAGTACAGGAACTTGCTGCTATCTCTCATTATTGTTTCCAGCTTTGGCTAAAACTTCACATGCCTTCTTCCTTTTGTCAGGGTTCATATTATCAAGGTTTCCATGCTTTTATTATGGGAACTTGGGATATGTTCAATTTTAACTGAACAAAGATGACCTAAGTTCAGTCTCTGTTAACATTAGAAAGATACTCAGAAGATACTGCCCTCTAAAATGATCTGTTTGACCTTTAGACACTGATCCTGAAATTTGATCCCCAAGACCCACCAATACTAAAGAATTAGACACTTCAGTCACTGGATGCCATTTGAATATGCTCTCGGTTTTGGAGCTCAAGGTCAGATCCAGAAAGGACGAATGCAGATGCTGAAATCTAAAATGGGAATGCTGAGCACCTCTCTTCAGTTGCTGGCTAATTATGAATATATCTAAAGCTCATTTCTCATCATTTCAGCTCTCCACAAGCACCCTCAGTCACACCTCAACCTCACTGGCGTGGTACCTAATGCAGACCTAAGTAGCAAGTATTTCTTTGCTTCTCACCTTCCATCTGTGCCCAACACAGTCAATGAATACATGGTGAAAATGTGCTGAAAGCTTCTTCCTCTCCATGATCAACAGGAGATGTTCTCGTTTCATACACAAGATAGATCAATCAGATATCATGGTGAATATCCAGACTCAGTTCCCTCCTTTACCTAAAGGAATTCAATCACAAACCTCTTGTTGTGGTGGGTTGACCCTGGCTGGATGCCAGGTCCCCACCAAAGCCACTCTATCACTCCCCTCCTCAGCTGGAGAGGGGAGAGAAAATATAATGAAAGATCTTGTGGGTCGACATAAGGTCAGAGATCGCTCAGCAACTACCATCATGGACAAAACAGACTCAACTTGGGGGAAAATTAATTTATTAACAATCAAATCCGAGTAGGATAAATAAAAACTAAATCTTAAAACACTTTCCTCCCATCCCTCCCTTCTTCCCAGGCTCAACTTTACTCCTGATTTCTCTACCCCCTCCCCACCAGTAGCACAGGGTGATGAATGGGGTTTGCGGTCAGTTCATCAAATGTTGTCTTTCCTGCTCCTTGCACCTCAGGGGAGGACTCCTCACACTCTTCCCCTGCTCCAGCGAGGGATCTCTCCCATGGGAGACAGACCTTCATTAACTTCTCCAACACGGGTCCTTCCCACAGGCTGCAGCTCTTCATGAACTGCTCCATCATGGGTCCCTTTTACAGGGTGCAGTCCTTCAGGAACAGACTACTCCAGCATGGGTCCCCCACAGGGTCACAAGTCCTGCCAGAAAACCTGTTCCAGCATGGGATCCTCTTTCCATGAGTCCACAGGTCCTGCCAACAAACCTGCTCCAGCGAGGAGCAGGTGTAGATCTTCTCCGCTGTTAACCTCCATGGGTGCAGGGGCACAGCTGCCTCACCATGGTTTTCACCATGGGCTGCAGGGGAACTTCTGCACTGGTGCCTGGAGCACCGCCTCCCCCTCCTCCTTCACTGACCTTGGTGTCTGCAGGGCTGTTTCTCTCACATGTTCTCACTCCTCTCTCTTGCTGTAATTGATGTTGTGCAGGTTCCCTCCCCACCCACTCCCCTTCTTAAACATGTTATCACAGAATCCTTACCACTGTCACGGATGGGCTCAGCCTTGGCCAGTGATGGGTCCATCTTGGAGCCAACTGTCATTGGTTCTATTGGACAGAGGAGAAACTTCTAACAGCTTTTCACAGAAACCACCCCTGTAGCCGCCCTGCTACCAAAACCTTGCCATGCAAACCCAATAAACTTGTCTGTGAAGAGTACATTTGAGGTATCAGACCATAGTCCATTTGAGAGTGTGTGGGGTACTCTCCTACTGAATTGATTTTATTGTGCATAGAAGAATCAAGATTTACTGGGGAAGGGACAAACCTTTGATGACTTTTCAAAGGGTTGTTTGTTTGTTTGTTTTAAATGTATATTATTTGGGAACAGACATTGCACATGAATGCATTAAAAGTCTTTGGAATAGGACGAGGTGCAGGACTCCCTCTCCCAGACAGCTGCCCTGTCAAGCAGGATCACATTCCTTTTTTTCCTTTCCTGCAGTTTTTCTAGGCAGAGCAGCCCTCTGTGAACAGGAGGGACTGCAAGTCTCAGCCCTATTTATATCCTGCTGTTGTTGAAAAGCTGGAGATAAA